GATTTTACTCTGACAACTCATCTTTAGCAATCTTTCACTATCAACCTATAACTATGTACTGTATCATCTTATCACCATCATCCACCCTAACTCTTACATATTACATAATTAACTACAATATTTATTCTTCATTTAAACCTACTCATCAAGCACATAGAGAACTCACAAAATTTACCTTGCAAGTTTTCCCATCATTGCCACATGCCAACACTGCTGGAAATTTAAATCACAGAGGGTTGAATAAAGGGAGAAAAACAGCCTGACACTACAGCCTGAAGCCTGAAATCATAAACAGATACTCATTTCATACACTTCCATGCCTTTAAGTATTTGTGACTTGTCCACATTGCTTTCAAGTTTCTGAGTTTTTAAACTTCGTCATCAATATTTAGAACCTCAACCGAAAAAAATCAACACTGTTTTTATAAATTTTTATTATTATTGAATCTCAATCATGGTAGTTTAAGTTGAAAAACCAAGAATTCTTTGTTAATGCTTATTTAATGGAGGAGCAGATAGTTTTTCTTAGTCTTTGCCTTATTGCTCAAGGGTACTTGTTTTAGACTAACCATTATCTTCAATGTTAAAATCACACATGTGCCTAATCCAAGTGCAAAATTCTTGACATTTGCTACAAAGATATCTCCAAATGTTCCCAGAATCTTCTGAGTAGGAACATTACCTCTGGTTGATAAGCACTAATCTGGAGCTAAGACTGAAAATCCTCAATCATATACCTCACTGTTAATTTCAGCAATTATGAATATACCTAATTTGACTGAAACTGACCCTTATATTTCCTCAAATGTTTTCAGTTATGAGTCCAATATCCTTATTTTGTGAAAGCCATTTTTAGTACCTATCACTCTATGTTCTTTATAACAATGAATATATGATTGGGACTTGGGTCCCAAAGGTGCTTACAATTAAATAGAGTGAAAAGACATCCTTAAATAATGAATATTGTCATGGTCTTTGCTAAGTGAAATAGGAATGGGACAAATAACATGCAGTTGGGTGGTCAGATCAAGTAGCGAAATGAGCTTCAAAGTGTTGGTCTTTGAATTTTGCTTTGAATAATTTGATAGGATTTTGAAAAGGTGAGATAGGGAGAAATATATTTATAAATGTGGGGATATACTATGAAATGACATTGGTCTTGAAATGTTCAAAGTGGGTGGAAAGAATGTCCAGTTAATTCTAATGCAGCGACTATACTTAGTTTTTCTCCACAAAGGGAATGCAGTTCCCTGTTCACCAGAACTATCTGATAGTTGGTTGAAATGAACCTTAATGAGGGGAATTTATGTGATCCATTCTCAAGAGACCAAATTATTTTCAATGTTCTGACAGATCATGAGTCTGAGCTCATGAAGCCGCAGTCTCCAGCTCTGTTGAATCACATGCATCATGTTCTGAAGCATCTTCTCACTCAGCCAGTACCTTAGGAACATGGGCCTACTCACCTTAACGTTAAGTGAAATCTTCCCTCCAAGGTTGCAGTAGATCATACAAAATGTGTATCAGTACTTATGGTGCCTATGCTGCTCTGTCTTTACTAGCTGTAACTCTGGAATAGACAACCGAAATGACAATGACAAGAGTCTATGATAGAATCTGACAGAATCTCTGAGCCCAAGCCTAGCTTCATGAAATACCATTATGTCACCTTCTTCTAGGTTGATATCAACAACACAGCTAAATCAATCCTATAAATATAAACATCTGTAATATTTTCTGATAAATAAGAACATTTAATTTTAAAGTGATGTCTACTGATAAACTATAGATATTTGGATTCCTTAGATTGTGTTTTAAATAGAGTTGAACTTTATTGAGGAACTTTGAGTTGTTCAAGTGCACCATAATATGACTCAAAGTTGTGGAAATGTGGTTCTAGAGTAACAATATGAAAAAAACTACAGAAGGTGAAATGATCATCCTGCATATGATGAACATATGTACCTGGAAAATAAGACTTATTCATATTGAGCAATTATTGGAGCACATTGAATGAGGATAATTCAGAAATAAGATATAGTCATATTGAAGAGTATGTAGATATTTCCACATATGGATATTTCTACATATGGAATGAAACAGCTAGAGTGCAAAGGAATCCTAGTCAATTATCAGATTCTTTAGACTGAGAGATTCCTGTTGCCAGGCGGCTAAATCTAGAACTTAAACCAGTGAGAAACAACTAAAGAAGGGAATTTGTATTCTATGTCATCTGAGGTCTCAAAAATCTTTGTTCATAGGGATGGGTGTTATGAGTATGGAGAGAGCTATAAAGAGAAAGGATCATGGGTATCATCACTTCACCAGTTCGTAAGTCTTTCAAGAGTTAAGCTCTAAAGGACACAACCACAAATAATTAGTTCATCAACACACACATACACACACAAACACACACCATGATTCTTTGCCAATTATTCAGATCTTGGGAAGGAGTACACCTTGTATTAATTTCCATTCTCTATATATTTTCTTTGAATACTCTAAACTGCATTTAATATGTTGCTAATCATCATTTGAAGAACACTGTAAACTATAAATGGCAGGGAGGAGTGTTTGTTAGGTTACAGAGATTCATTAATTTGGTAAAATTGTGGGAAAAGGAAACAGAATTTACAAAAAAAAGGGTATTTCAAAGTCACCTTTGAGTACTCTACTCATATGGCACTACATAGCTTTATAAATGAAAATGTTACATTATCTCAAGATCTGTGGCCTCTAGAGTCATTGTATAAAATAATATAATGAGTAAAAAGATAGTCTGGCTCAACAAATGTTCCTTCGAATTTGTTTCTCTGCTGTACACATGTATAATGAGGTTTTAGGAACAATTCTGACAATTCGTATTGGTTCGCTCTCAAAAGTGCCACATTATACTAATAATTGTTTCCTATCACAACAAAAATCTACCCTCTATACCAATGAACAAATATATATCAAAACAGTCATGTCAGAAGTTTACTCTAGAGAATTTTGTTCTTTGGAAAGAAGTTTTCATTCAGTGTTCTTACTTTCTTCTGTGGGCTCTTGGTATATTGAACAGGGAGTCTCTATTCATTTTACTTTAGTTAATGACTGTCTCAATTAGGCACTAGTGTGACTTTAACTTTGAAGATAACAGTCAGCCTGAAACAAGTCCCCTTGCACCTATGTGCAGTAACACAGTGACTAAGAAAAAACATCTGCTCCTGTATTAAATAAGATTTAATGAAGACTTCTTGGTTTTACAACTTAAACCACCATGATTGAGATTTAATAATATAAAAACAAAGGCAATGTTGACATTTCAGTTGGGGGTCTACATATTGATAAGGAAATTTAGAAACTCAGAAAGTTAAAAGCAATGTGGACAAGTCACAAATACTTAAAGACATGGAAGTGTGTGAAATGAATATCATTTCACAAATGTGATATTACATTTCTACCACTGAGGAAAAATTTTGTATTTTTAGTCATGATATAAAACACATTAGAAGGTCAGTACTGTAAGCTGATTACTTTATAATCCTAAAATGTCAGATATTTGATGATTTTCCCCATCACAATAATACTACTTTCCCCAAAGCTCTCCTCCTCCCTTTATGGTTTATTCATTTCATTTTCACTTCTGGGCATTTTGTTTTGCAATCTGTATTCTCTCATCTCCATCTCCTACTTCTCCAGCTTGTTTGATTTCCATTTCATTTCATATAACAGAGACTTTAAAAATATTATTTTTCTCAATTGTATAATTATATATAAACACTGCTGAGTAACCTCTATGAATTAACCCAAGGTACCTTCCAATTACTTTCTTTCTTGTTTTTTTTTTTGAAAAAATGATATCCATTATAGTAGATACTAATTCTTTTGAAGAACACTTGATGCTTTGACACTGCAATTTGACAAGATTAAGGGAAGATAGGACAATTAATGATTTGTTGCACCAATTACATATTAAGGACCATGAGAAAAAATAATGAATATGTTTTTCATATCTCTTTTCACTAATTTAACTGAATATTTTTTCATTTTAAATAGAAAGGAAGAAGTATTGATGCCAAATCAACATGTAAAAATCAAGATTTTCTCATCCAAAAAAAGATATATCTTCACCTTTCCATTAAGATACTTTTGTTCTAAATATTTTTAATACTTCATTCCCATCTTGGAAATCATTTTTGGGGGGTACATTGTGTCACTTACAAAAGTTCTTACAATATATCAAATATGTCAAACTTGAATTCATCTACTCCATCATTCTCTTTCACTCCCTTCCCCCCATTTTTGAATATATTCAATAGTTTCAACAGTCCTCATTTTTCCACATACATATATGTGACACGTGCAGACACTGTTTTCACCATACTCACTCTCCTACATCCTGTCCCCACATCCTTCCTGTCACACTGGTACTCCCTCTCCAGAAAGGACTTGTTCTGCCATCCTTTTCTCTGATTTTGTAAAAGAAAAAATTTGACATTTTTATTTGTTTAAGATAACTATCCAAGGAGTTCCATTGTTACATTTCCATGTATATATGTATTATAACCTGAATTGGTTCATCTCCACTATTTTACTCCTTTCTACATTCACACATGAACATTTATTTAGAAAGCACTATGCTGAATACATGTGTCCTTCATCTAGATTTAGGAATTGTCAACCTGTGGCCAATGTCATTCTTTGCACAACCACAGGCTGACTCTGCTTAACTAAAGCTAAAGAAAAAAAAAAAAACAATTAGATCATGTCATTTCTTGGACCAAATTGAAATTTATTTTGACCCATATCATCCATGCTCTTTCTCTCAATCCTGGCTCATAATTACCCACTCATATCTCTGTCTTTCTTTTTCTTTTAGTTCTGCTGCTCTGAAGAACTAACTTTGTAGAAGACAAACACTTCGTGGTCAGTGCTGCATACAAATAAGACAAAGGAAGAAAACAGGCCAGCATTGTCTCCTGCTCTCCATCTTTGCTCTCTTTCCCTCATAGCCCATGATGACTCTGGTTGAGGCTCTGGTGCATGTAAGGATCACCCTCCTGCAGCTCTGGCTGGGGCTATTACTCTTCCATTCTGGATGGTCCCAATATATACATGCTCAACATCACAGCCCCCCAGAAGTGGTCATACCCTTGAGGGTCACTGGCACTGGAATAGTCACAAGGTCTCCAGACTGGCTCTCCTATAGCCTGTACTTTGGAGGCCAAAGCCATGTTGTCCACATGAAGACCAATAAGTTTTTGGTATCCAGAGATCTCTCTGTGTTCACCTACACAGACCAGGGCACTCTCCTTGAGGACCAGCCTTTTATCCAGAATGACTGCTACTATCATGGTTATGTGGAAGGGGACCCAGAATCCCTAGTTGCTCTTACCACCTGTTTGGGGGGCTTACAAGGAATACTACAGATAAATGATATTCTTTATGAAATCAAGCCCAAGAATCTTTCTGGTACATTTGAACATTTGATTTATAAGATGGACAGTGAAGAGAGAGAATTACTCTCTGTGAGATGTGCAGTAACAGAAGAAGAAATAGAACGACAACTGAAGATTCAAGCAAGGGCTGTTTCAACTCTGAAGCAAAGTGGCTATGAAGGCTGGTGGATCCAAACACGGATAGTTGAACTGGGAGTGGTGGTAGACCATAAACGATTTCTTTATCTGGAAAGGAATATGTCAAAACTGCAAGATGAAATAATCATAATTATAAATGGAATGAATTCCTATTTTTCTTTTGTGGGCATTGATGTGATTTTAGTCGGACTTGAGGTCTGGACTGAAAGAAATCCCATAAATGTGGAAGATAATGACATACAGTCTGTCCTAATAGACTTTTGCACTTGGAAGAGAGGAGACTTCAGTACCCGCATTTCCCATGATATTGCACATATTTACGTAAATCACAGCTATTCAGGCATGTTGGGCCAAGCCAATCTTGGCTCAGCATGTAATTTTGACTCCAATTGTGCAATTAGTAGTTTCTTAAATGATGAAGTACCTTATTTGGCATACATTGCAACACATGAGGTGGGTCATGTTTTGGGTATGCATCATGATGATGATGAGTTATGCATATGTGGGCAAGGGCACCGACATTGCATAATGAATTCAGGAAATGTTTTTTCAACACAATTCAGCAACTGCAGTTATGCTCAGTTATGGAACACCCAGAGAAACTGTCTGCGTAATTCGCCAGTTCGAAAGGCCATCTTTCCATGGGTGCAATGTGGGAATGGTGTAGTTGAAGATGGAGAGCAGTGTGACTGTGGATCCTTAAAATCATGTACAAATGATTCATGTTGCCTGCTAGGCTGTACTCTGAAACCGGGAGCTGCTTGTGCTTCGGGGCTTTGTTGTAAAGATTGCCAGGTCTTGCCACCAAGGACCTTATGCAGAGAGCAGGACGGTGAATGTGATCTTCCAGAGTGGTGTAATGGAACTTCACCAGAGTGTCCAGAAGATGTGTATGTGCAGGATGGGTTTCCTTGCCTGGGCATAGGCTACTGCTATAAAAAGACATGTAATAATCGTCATGAACAGTGTCAGAAAATTTTTGGCAAGGAAGCTAGGAATGCAAACCATGGTTGCTACAAGGAATTGAACATGCGAACTGATCGTTTTGGAAATTGTGGTATGACTAGTGATAAATACTTAAAGTGTAAAATCTCAGATATCCTCTGTGGAAGAATTCAGTGTTACAATGTAACACAAATTCCCTTTCTGATAGAACACACTACTCTGCATCACACTCACTTGAATGAAGTCACCTGCTGGGGTACCGACTATCATCGGGGGATGACCATACCTGATGTTGGTGAAGTCAAAGATGGCACAGAGTGCGGTCTAGAACAACTATGCATTGACAGGAAGTGTGTCAATATATCAAGCTTAAAAGGTACGTGTTCAACAAATGATTGCAACATGAGAGGGATCTGCAACAATAAACAGCACTGCCATTGTCACTTTGGGTGGGATCCACCCAACTGTCTGAAGAAAGGTTCTGGTGGTAGTGTTGATAGTGGACCATCTCCACTAGAAAACGTGGATGTTTTAAAAAGGGGGCAAAAAAGGATTTACACAGGTCTGATTTTTCTAGGTCCTTTTTGCTTTTTGTTATTCTCTTTGTTCATTTTCTTCTGTAAGAGGGATAAATTACTGCCCAAGAAAGAAGAACCTGAGGCTGAACCTCTCCCTGTGAAAGAAGAACCCAAAGTTCAAACTTCATCCAAGAAAGAGCCCATGAAAGAACCTAAAGTTCTTGAGAAAGAGGAAAATTTTACAAATCCAGAAGATGAATACAAACCTTAATGATATTTTCCAAGTATTAATTTTTTGTGTCCTAGCAGGAGAAATATTATTGTATGCATCATCAATAACAGAAAATCCTAGGGTTCTTTAATGTTTTGAATCCTAAGCTTTCACCATTTTAAAAAGAAGTAAATATTCCTGCTTTTCCTTATTTTAAACAACTCATGGTTATTTTATGAAATTCATGTCTTTGAGTTTCCTTAGCAAAGACCTAACTCATGGATTTGTGTGTCTATGTTTGTGTGCATGTGTGTTTCCACTTAGTACCACTTGATTCCAAACTACCTTCCCCTTTTTAGTCCTTTTGCACATGGAGAGAGGAAACTTACTATTTGCCTTTCCTTTTGCCCATCCTCCCTACAGTTTCTGCCCATAGGGGACCTAGAGGGATACTAGGAACTTGAGAGAACTATGTAGTTATGTTCTCATCAGCTTAGCCTCAGTAGCTGCGCTCCTTGGTGGCAGCAGTGACTTTCATTCTGCACAATGAAATATATATATATATATATATATATATATATATATAGTAAGCCTTAGAGAAGCAGTATTGTCAGTCTCACAGACACAGCAAAACTACCATACCACCTCCCAACAGTTGTGAGTCCCAGGTCTCTGAGCCTTGCACCAAATCCCAGAGGTTCCAGACGCAAGCTGGCTGTATCCTCTGCTCAGAGGTTGGAGTCTTAGAACCATGGGACTAATTCCAAAACTCTGTGTTTGACTATTCCAAACTCTTTTTTCAGTCTTTAAGGCAACAGGTACACCTCCAGTTAGCAACTCGTGGTTATGTGAAACGTGTGGTTTCTCATTCTGTGACTGAACTCTGAATGATACAGAAATTACCGTCATACAGTGGAGAATAGAGAAGGATCAAATGTCAAAAGGTTTGAAATTTTCTCACCACTATTGCTCATTATAATCACAGAAGATAAATTATACAGAGAGTATTTTTTCAAAATCTGTAACCAGGGTAGTAGTTCTTGCTACTAGACTCCTTTGTAATTTTGCTTTTACAAAATAGGGTAAAGAACATACAATTTTATATACTATGTCTTAGAAAACCATTTTTCTTGTAGAAAATACAAAGACAAACGATCCCCATTAAACTTTGAACATTTAAAGGCACCAGAGAGAATTGTATGCAAGGCAGACCAGAGAAGAAAATTCCAAACATAGAAAGCAATTCTAAAATGAGTTGATTAGTGACCTCCATTCTTTTGTCTGAAGGACTTGGAAATACTGCAGGTGAATTGAAGTTGAGGATTATTTAGTTGTTTTGTTCAGAGACATAGACATCCCAATCTTTTTAGTACTACACAGGACTAGTTCACACATTAGACATTTTGGGGCACTCAATTCACCATCATTTTTCCCTAGGTCATATTTGCTGACTTTAATTTTTACTAAGCCATAATTGTCCAGATTTATGGGTTACAATGTAATATTTCAATGCATGTATACTTTGTGTAGTGATCAAATCACTATTATCAGCATTCTATCACCTAACATGTACCTGTTCTTTGTGGTGAATTATTCAAGAGTCCTTCCAGTTATTTGGAACAATGCTTCATCATTATCTATGCTCACTCTACTGTACAATAAAGTACAAGAAATAATTTCTTCTCTCCACTGTAACATTGTTAGAGTTTTCTGGAGGTGGTCAGTCCTGAGGAGAGTCTATTGTTGGGGTTAGTTTCAGTTCCTTGTCATGATCATTTGATGTTATTGATCATTTGTGTTTTTTCTTAACTCCAAGGTGGTTGAAAGATGACTACAAAGAAAATGGCTCAGAGCAATGGCAGATACAAAATGGAGAGATACTTTGCTATTTCTGCTTTTAGTTAATTTCTGGGCCCAAGTAAGGAGTTAATCCTTTTCAGCAAACGAAGTTTAAGTACCTCTTATAATTTTTACATTTGACCATTTTTAATCTTGAGCAAATTAGGGTTTTCTGACCAAGATAAATTAGTACAGGAGAAGAGGACAGATGACTGACAGCTAAGTCAATCAAAAGTACTTGTTAAAATTGGAGAAAAAGGAGGGCAGAACAGGTCCTGTCTGGGGGTTGGTCAGTGAAGAGGGGAAGTTATGTGGAAAGGGTGGAGTAGGGTGAATATAGTATAAATACTGTGTACACATGTATGTAAATGGAAAAATGAACCTGGTGAAACTATTACAGGAATGGGGGGATAGAGGATAAAGGAGAATGATAGAGAGGTGAATTCATGTATGATATATTTGATATATTGTAAGAACTTTTGTAAATGCCACAGTGTACACCCAGCACAACAATGAAAAAAGAAAAGACTTGTTTTTGAAATCAAAAACTAGAAACACCTTTATAAAGCAGAATACAGAGTAAGTAAAAGAAGGCTCCCAGTTAAATAGGCTGTGTAGGGAAACTTAACTCTGTGAGCACAGACTACTAAAAAGATATGTTTGGAGCCAGCAAAAATAGTCATTTTTGTGTTTACTTAAATAGAAGGCCTTGGCCAAAAATATGAGTTTGCCTTCTGTCAGAGGTGCCTGCAAGAGTTTGGATGTCTAGTAGCCATACATAAGATCTCTTTTTGAAAGCCTCTTGGCTTGAATAACTTTTGTGAGGTCTGGTACAGGTGACTCTATCTGGATTGTGACAGCTTTTCCCTCTTGTCTCCAAACTGTCTCTGAACAGTTTCCATTGAAGATTTTGTAAATTAACCATTCTGGTTAAAGAAACTCCCTAGTCACCAAGAATAGCTTTTCCCAGATGCTCTTTTCAGATCCCACATTGAAGGGGAAGAATCAGGTAGGTCAGATAGAAGTCATTGCCAATTAAGACTCATTTTACCAAATAATAAGCAGCAAGCGATGTTTAAAAGAAGTGGGCTTACCTGGCACACATTTTTAGTTGTCTGGACTATTGTTGATACCCTGACATCTTAAAAATGCTGCAGAATGTCAAGAGAAAATGGTTATAAGTTTTACAAATATAATACAAAAAGCCAACAGAAGTAAATATGTAAAAGACTGGCTCAATTGAAAAATAGGTACTTGTTAGTCATTTTTGGGAGTGTGATTGCAAATGCTCCAGTGAAGGTCCTGGATAGTGAATGACAAGACTTACAATAGCCATGGCTAAAATACTCAAAAGTAGTTTAGGAACTGTCAGAACATCTAATTATTTCCATTGCAGATAGCATTTTAGGAAAATAATTATGATTGGTAGCATTAAAACAGCAACACTAAGTGCTTCTTGTTATAGTTGGGAATACATGGACACAAGTCTGCAAAATCTACCAGCACTAAAATTTTAATTTGAAGAACATCTATGTGGTAAAGGTTTCTTCCTAAGAAGGCATATATGTTTGAGAAGTATAAGTATTCTACAAAGGAGCCAGCAACAATTAGCTTCACAGCTATACAGATGTCACATATACATATTAATTTATCTTTTTCCCTTGGAGTAAAATTAGACTTTGGCTAGGTAAGATAATAGGTACGCAGCACTGACAAAAGTCAAAACTTTAGATCTATTACAAGTTAAGGGGATAACGCCTATGCTCCCAAATTGTTTTATTTCCAAATGCACAAGTACATTTCATATATACAGTTACACTCACTTAGCTAAGAAGAATATAGGCCAGACTAAATAGCAGGATTGCCCAAATGGCAGGGTTTTTCTGAATCTAACTGATTATAAACAGCAGAACTACCAAAAGTTTCATTAAACATTTATATATAATATTTTTGAATAAAAATATTTAGCTTTCATCTGGACATTTTACATATATTAAACAGACATACTTTTAACTCTGTAAATATTTGTATAATATTTAGATGAAGTTTAGACAAATAGCTCTACATGCCTTTAGTCACAAATCTATAGTGCACTAATTGTGATAGAATTACTTAAAATAATAGTTGTCTCATTACACAGTTATAAGGTGATCATTTAAGAGTCCTTTACATGAATAGATTGTTAAATGAACTCTTATTTAGCTTAGATTTAGTTTTCTAAGTAGAAAAAGTTTGACAAGATCAAAAGAAAACACAAGTAATTATTTTGAAAAAAATCTTTCCTTAAGACAGTTTCTTACAGATGGTACTCAGAGCAGAACAATGTTAAGATAGCATTGTTATTTTATGGACATGGAGAATCAGGGCCTAGTTTAACATGACCCTAAAAAATTTTTCAGGAAACTTAGATTACAGTCAACACACACCTATGCTTTTATAAGCAACTTCTATTATATGCTTTAAAAACCTACTCAGGACTTCATACAATGTTCTGAAACTTCTGATGGTTTGTCTTTATCCATCTTCTCCATTTTTTGGATCAGTGCTTTAAGACAAATCTTTCTTTACAAAATCCTTCCTCATCCAAAACCACTTTCTTTTTCCCTTCAAATTTTCCTCCAAAAAAATATACCCAATACCTTTCTATATCCTTTTCTACTTGTTGACTTTTTTTGTAACTTATATTTTAAACTAAAATTTATAAGAATTTTAAATTTAAATAATTTGCTCAATAAAAAAAAACTCCTTTAGCCTTATTTTTTACTAAATAAACTCATGAAGAAAGGCAATCTTAAACTGCTTGTCCATACAATAAGAAACTTACAAAGACGCACTTGTTAATAGAGCCAATTATAAAGAATTTAATGTAAATTACACTTATGACAAAATGAAACAGATTAAGGTTACTGTCCATAAAATAATGCCTGAGTTTTAATTAGACCTGGTTGACATAAGAACCTTGAAAATCTGGTTTTTCTTAAAAGTAGCAGCAGAAGAGGTAGGGAGAGAAAAGAACGGAAGTCTTTAATTTCTTTATATCAACGCTGTAAGAATCAACCTAAACAAGTTCATATACAGGCATGTGCAAAAAATGTTTTAAATTGGGCATGCCATAAATGTCAGTTTAAGCATGCATAGACTCAAGAGCTCAAGAACATGCAAAAATTAACTTAAGTAGCCACAAGTAAGTTGGTCAGCTAGTTTTTTAAAAATTTTAGGAG